TGCTCCCTGCCAAATCTGGGGCCAGCAGTTCTGGAGGCAATTCCATACCCTCTGTGCCCCACCAGGAGAGGAGGATGGGCTGCTCACAGCATCCCTGCACTGCATTCCCCCTGACAAACCTGGGGCCAGCAGGGCCAGAGGTACCTCCAGACCTTCTGTGCCACAAGGAGAGGAGGATGGGCCCCTCATTTTATCTGTCCTGTGTGCCTCCTGCCAAACTTGGGGCCAACAGGGCTGGAGGCACCTCCAGACCCTCTGTGCCACCAGGAGAGGGGGATGGAGCCCTCAGTGTCCCTCACTGCATGCTCCCTGCCAAACCTGGGCCATAAGGGCTGAATGCACCTCCAGACCCTCCATGTCACCAGGAGAGGAGAATGGGTCCTTCAGTGTCCCTCACTGTGTGCCTCCTGCCAAACCTGGGGGCAGCAGGGCTGGAAATACCTCAGAGGTTCCTGCCCTGGCTCCCATCCCTCTCCTGCCCTCCCTGCAGTCCCTGCATGGTCTGTCCGTCTGTCTGTCCCTCTCCAGGACCCCCCAAACTGCAGGAGGAGGGAAGGTGTGGGCAGAATCCTCCAGCCTTCCTCAGCCCTATTCCCTGGGAGCAGTGAGGTGTCCCCCTAGGGCCGTGGCCACCCCACCCTGAGCACTTCTGGGGGTGCTCTGACCTTGTGCGGGTTGAGCCCCCTTGGCAGCTGTGTTTACCTCTGTGCCTGTGTGGGCAGAATTCCCTGGCATCCCCTGGCATTCCCTATTCCACCCTTTCCAGGCCTCCTCAGGGGGCTCTGCCCTGTCTGTGCCCTCTGCCCTTGGACTTGAACCCAGCAGGATCCTTCCTGGGGAAATTTATTTTTTTGTTGGTTTTTAAGTGAATTTTTTAGCTAAATCACTCTTTGGAGTGTTGATTGATGATCTATAATGTGTGTGTGTGATATATGTGTATCTATAAATGGATATATCTAGATATAGGCATATCTATATTTAGTTTTATGTCTATAGAGATACAGATATAAATAGATCTGTGTATGTCCAGATCTGCATCTGATTCTATAGATATATCTTTCTACAGATACATATATATAAATATTCCGGTTTGCATTTCTAGCACAACCCTTAGGGCATTTGTGGGGTTTTTTTCTGGTCATCCCTGGATGTGGTCACCCACAGCATCATCCAGGCAGAAAATAAAATGAAGGATTTGAGGTTTTCCCCCTGGGATCCTCAGGGAAGCTGGGCTGGTAGAGGAAAAATCACCTGAGACCAAAGCAGGTGTGGGGTTGTGGAGCCCCTGTTCCTCCCAGCTGGGTTTCTAAGGAGTTAATTCCTATTTTTTAGGGAAAAGAATGTGTTTGGGGCAGCTTTTCCAGGGATGGGTCCAGCCAAACCCCCTCCTCCACCCCTCAGCCTGTGTTCATCTGTAGGACCTACCTGAAGTGCCAGTGTCAAATGTATTTATTTTTCTTTTATTTGTTGTACAAATTCCCACATTTGGAGGGAGGGATCAGTGAAGGACTCAGGTCTGGAGCCTTCCAAGCTCCTCCTGAGCCTGATCCTGACATGAGCCCAGAGGGTTTGGGAATGGGGCTGTCCCTTCCTCCTTTTTTGGGCCAAGAGGGCTGGGTTTGGGGGATTTAAAAGAGGTTTGGGGAATTTAAAAGAGGTTTGAGGGATTTTAAAGAGGTTTGGGGAATTTAAAAGAGGTTTTATGTTTCTCTGGTTGCCTCTGCTCATGCCTGTGCCCCAAGCTGGAAGCTGTGACTCCCCCAGCCCAGGCAGGGCGCGATAGGAACATGTGGAAAGTGTGGTTAATTATTCCAAATGCAGTAGCCAGGACCAAATGTTGTTATTTTTCCCTTATCCCCTATTTTTTAACGCCCAGCAGAGCCACTGGGATGGTATTTTGTACGAAGAAATCACCTATTTTTGAAGGAAATAAATGCAGTTGGATGACTCGTGTGCTGATTTTCCTTCCCAAAGCCACTCCTAGGGGGAGGTTTGGCATCACCACACCAGAAGCCCTCCCTTGGGGTTGGAGGGAATATTTTCCCATGCCTTTTCCCTGTTTTTCTGGCCCTGAGGGAGCAGCAGAGCACAGCCCCAGTTGCACTAGGGATGGAGATCGCTTTTATTTAGTCACTCGAGTGCTTTAGTACAGAAGAACAGATATACAGAGATGATACATGTTTGTGCTTCAACACTTTCAAACATTTAGATTCCAGTAATTTCAAGGTAAACAAGTTCCAAGACAGACTAGATTATTTTTTTTAAAGTTTTCCTTTTTGATAAATTATTTTTTATATAAATAACTGTAACAGAAAAAATAATAATAATAATAATGTCCAACATACAAGATCCTGAAGCATTTGCATTGCTAAACCAAAGAGGAACAGAAACGGGCTGGGAGACCAAAGGGGAACCAACAAATATCAGTGCAATGATACAGCCTTTGCCCTAAAAATATATATTTAACTTTATGGGCAAGGAGCAGACGGGAAAGGAAGGGAAAAGGGAGGGCTAACCACCAACGAGGCAAGAAAGAGCAATTTTAGGGTAGGAAAAGGGGGCTCACAGCCTTCAGGGGGAAGAGAACAAAACCATAGACCCCAAAATATTGCAGTGCATCTAAAGGCAAGGGAACAGGGGGGCAATCCAGGGGCGTCAAATAAAAACCCAACTAAAATCAGAGGTTTGGGGAAATCACTATACACCAAGCTCGTAAGAACGTCACAAGACACAGTCATTAATATACACAGAGTCCAGAGGGTTTGGGGGGGGCCTTGGGAGTTTGGGGGGCCCCAGAGGGATTTTGGGGAGGGCCCAGAGGAGTTTTAGGGAGGGCCCAGAGGGGTTTTGAGGGTCTCAGGGTGACGGCACGCTCAGAAACGCTTCACCACGGGACGACACGAGCGGAGCTGGGCACGGGCACCGAGCTCCCATGGGGATGGATGGATGGAGAGAGGTATCCATGGAGAGATAGCTCAGATATATATATATATAAAACAGCTTTTTATTTTATATATATATATATTTTTGAAGGAATTCCCAGAGAGGGAGGCAGGGCTGCAGCAGGGCTATGCAAGCAGATGGGCCCCAGCTCCCAGTTTTGACCGGTTTGGTCCCTTTTCACACGGGAATTACCACGCTGTGAAGCGTCCTGGCTGCACTCCCACACCACCTCCCTCCCAAAGTCCCACCCAGATGTTGGCGTGCACATCTGGCAGGAGCACCCACCACCCCAAAAGCCATGGGACAGATGGTGGTGCCAGCCTGGTGCCCACCTGAGCAGCGGCTGGAGCGGTGTGGGGTGTCCGTCCATCTGTCCTCCCGTCCACACAAGACCCCAATGAGGAGCATTCCCCAAAAAAAAAGTGTTTTTCTGTCATTTTCCCCACCATATTCACTAGCAATGGGCAGATGGTTACTCAGCAATGAGCTCCTGGGCGCTTCCCACAGCTGCAGCTACAAATATATAGATTTTTTTTTTCCTTTTTCTCTTAAACACAATGCATCCATTTTCTTAATATATATATATATATATATTATTTTGTTTTTGGCTGTTATCCCCTCCCTGTGGATAAAATGAGATGGGGGAGGCGCTGGGAGGGGAGAGGAGGGGATCAACACAAGAACAAGAGAGAAGCTGGGGCCCACAGGGTGCAGGGTGACACCCGGGGCCGGGCGCCCGGCGGGGACGTGGGTCGGCATCGAGTGGTGACAGCGTTTCCTTTTAACTGCTGCTCTCTTCCTCTGTTTTATTGAGTTTCTTCAGCGTGTCCAGCAGTTTCTGTGGGGTGAGGATGTGCGTGGACCCTGTGGGAGCAGAGGAGAAGGGGTGCAAGGGGATCAGTGATGGCTTTGGAGCCCAGCCCGTCCCCGCTGTCCCGGGTCCCCCTTACCTGGCGGCGCCAGCCCCGCGCCGCTGGAAATGCTTGCGAGGAAATGCAGTCTATGGGGAGGGGGAGGACTCTGAGGGCATGGAGAACGGGAAAAGGACCAAGAGGAGGGATGGAGGTGAGGGATGGAGCTGGCGGGATGAGTCGGGGGCCGGGAGGAGCCGGTGCAGGGGGGCTGTGGCACTGGGGTCACTGCAGGAGGCACTGCTGGGTGCAGGGGGGGAGTGCAGGGACAGCCGGCATGGAGGGACCTTCCCCAGGCCCCCCAAGGTGCACGGAGCATCCTGGGGACACAGAGGTGGCTGGGAGGGTGGGATGGGACAAGGAAAACAAGGAAAACTCCCCTTGTTTGGGGGTCCCCCAGCACGGTGCCAGTGGAGGTCCCACTGTGCTGCCCACTCTGGCACCGCAGGGACCAGCACACGGGGCATGCTGGGGTGGCACTC